AGCCAGACAGCTTGTCTAGTACCAGAAACAGCTTTTCTCTACTTATCTCTGTGTTGTCAGCAATGAGGACAATGGTTAAACAGGGAAGAGACCTGTATGCTTGTTTGCTTCTCCAAAGATTTGTAGTCAGAACTGAAGCCTGATGTTAAGTTTCCAAACATGCAAAAATTAGAGTATTGTTAGGTGTATATTTTTAATTAAAAAGAAAAGTACTGGTCATAATAAAAATAGATATATTTAATACATGCAATCAGAAGTGCTCATTAAGAAAATTTGGATTCCCTAAAATGTGCTAACATTTTGCTTATGGAAAACTTTTAAAATACAGATAAAGAAATATATAGTTGTTATACTGACATTATTTTAAAATGAAATTTGATTAAAGGACCCCAATATGGTGTAAATCTTGAAACAAGTCAAAACACTTAAATTATTATTAGCAAAATTAAAAATAGTTTTGAATTCAACCTTTGTAAATTCCTTAAATCAACAAGTTGCTCTATAACACATTTCAGTGAGACTGCTTTTTCTAATCAGAAAACATTTCTAGTAACTTTTTGATATTATTTATTTATTTTGACCAGCTGTAGCTTCTAAAATAAGAAGTGCTGGCTTTGTGAATTTAAGTGATTTCTTTATGTGCAAACAAGAACAAGATGGATACGCCCATCTACATTGTCAGGGGGGTTATGAATAAAGAGGATAGTTCAAATCCCAGAACTACTGTTTGAGACTTTCATTGCCTGAATAACAATCTCACCAAATTGGAAAATACAGCGTATATAGAGATAAGAGTTAAACAGTTATTGAAATAAGAGGACAGGGCTAAACTTCTGTTGCCCCAGGATTTTTGGTTCTTTGTAACAGTGTAAATATTTCTCTGGGTTTTGAAGCCCACCAAAAATGTTCTGCTGGACAGTTGGCATGTGGTAGGGGAGTGAGATCCATAGAGACTTTGTCTTTACCTGTAAAATAATCTACATCCTTTTCTGGCACCAAAATAATTGATTTCTCTCTAATAGCTTCATAAAGCATTTCTCCCTTATTATTTGTGATCATTTAATCTAGCTATCAGTTCCATCGAGGAGCATGAAATTTAGCATATATGTAGACAAGGCACTTGTCTAACTTAATAACACTCTTAATAACTTCTGAGAATCTTGACCCAGAAGCTCACTTATACAAGAAAGTGTCCTGTTCAACTCTGTAGGAGCTACTTTGGCCATGTAGCAGACAGTCGGTCAAACGGCTAAGGGCCATGTTTCATGTGATTAATATTTATAGTGTGAATGTTTCAGAGCTGTTTAAATTTTGTGTTCAGCTTGTCAGCATATACTGTGTTTAGAAAATCTTCAACTATATCTTATTCTATTTTGGAACAATACTATTCTTAAAAGCCAACTGTATGGTCTAAATTAAAATTATTAAAATATTAAGTGTTTATATCTTTGCAGAAATCACATAGAGAAACTGCTTACCTTATTGCACCATAAATATGCTCACAAGTTGCTCAAAGTTGGTTTGTTTTCTTTGGAGAGCCTTAAGAGGAAATAACACTTAGTGAATTACAGTGTGAACATTTCTCTCCTGTGTGGGAGATGGAACCAGCTTTGAAGATTTAAGTCTGAAAACTCCTATCTAGTAATTTGATGGTGGGTAGTTTTGCCATTCTGATGAAAAATAAATTTATCCTGGTACATTCCAGCACTTACTGAAACAGTGATGACAATAAAGCAAGCAAGAAAAGAGAAAAGGCCAATGTAAGGGACAAGTGAAAATGCCTGGATCTTGTATTTAGCCAGGGGAATATTAGATTAGATAGATGTTACTTCAGTCACTTAAGTGAAATGAAATGACAGTAAAGAAAGGGGATTATTATGAACAACTGCATGAGGGATTTGTAGGGATTTTAACTTTCCCAAAACTTAGAGAAATATTCCATCTCTTTGCATCATTTTGATGGCATATAGTCTGAAATTTACTTAAGTTTTCAAGATTTAATCTTGGTTTGTTGAAGAATTATAGACAATGAAGTTCCATGTAAATTTTTTCACAAACTTTTAATGTATCTGCCCTTTTAACAAGACAGAAAGCTGGCTTTATACATAAATTTAATCATCTTACACAGGCTATGTGGAAAAATAATCATCATAAGGACAGATAGAAATTGAGGAACATATGGAAAAAGTTATTTTTTGCTACAGATCTGTAACAAAAAACCCTCTATCTTACAGATAGAGTTTGCTACAGATGCCCATATTGATTTGTTCAGGTATATTATTATTGTCTTTTGTATTCTTAAACCCAACTCTTCTGTAATTATGCAGATTTTTTTTTTTTTCTGTTCTGTTTTGAGGGATTCTTATAAGCAATGCTAGGTAATGGTTCATCTGTCCCAAAAGATTCATCCAGTGCAGGATTGCAAAAGGGTCTGTTCTATACTTAGTTGAATTGTGACAGGCTTATTCCCCTTCAAAGCAGAGTAGTGAGCTACTAAAACAGAGAAATAAAAACAAGCAAACTATTTCAGCCTGTGAACAAATGTAATCTATGTCTGGCAGTATCTATAGCTGAGAATATCACAAAGCAGACTCTGTACCATTTGTATCAACTTTTTTTTTTTTTTTTCTTCAGAGACTGATAAACAGCAAAAAGAAAATATTTTCCTATTGTTCAGTGAGCATTCATTCCTTAAAAGTTGTTTCAAATCTTAAGTTCTGGAATAAGTTGAGTGACCCGTGTGTGTTACAAACATGTCAGAATAATTATGTCAGTATTATAATAACACTATTTTGAATTTTGGCAAGGTGAATATTAAAAATGGCTTTCTGACTGGAAGTTTTTTTTTTTTTTTCCCTTGTTAGTTTCACCCCGCAGGGTTTAAAAGATCTTTTAGTATTCTGTATTTTCCCTATTTTTTCCCCCTCTAAGTCTTCACTGAATTTATTTTGAAAAAGTTTGTTCACAGAAAATGGAATCTCTTTTTTAGTACATACAGATCTGTAAAAATACTTTTGTTAAAAATAAGGATTTGAAGTTTGTCAAAATGTATACAAACTAGAGCTTTGACTGACATTTTTGTGCAGAAAAGTTTTCTTTTTTTTTTTTTTTCAAGAAAGCCCATTCTATAATTCTATGATTTAGATGGAAAACATTTTAATAAGAAATACATTAATAATCTCAAAAGTAATTTATGTAGTGCCATTGCTCCTAAACTACTGTAAATCACTTCTCAAATGGGACTCAGGAAAACACAGGTAAAATGTTGGACTACAAAATAAAATCCACAGCATTTCTGTCAACAAATTATTGTTTTGAATGGGATTATTAACATTTTTATTTTCTGATTTATAGCCTCCTCAACCCCCACCCCCCTCCCAAAAAAAAAAAAAAAAAAAGCAAAAAGCATCATATCTGTCAATATCTTGTTACAATGAACTCCATCAGTAGATGTACTGACGAGGGTCTTCACAGGGAGTTCATTGTTACAAGAAGATGTGAAGGCATAGAGAAGAAAAACTGCTGGGATTACTCTGCTTTTCACTCCGAGTTAAGATCTGACTTTCTGTTTTGATTTGAATTCTGTTTTGATTCCATCTTCCCTTTTATAGTTAGCCTAGAAAGCGCTAAGTATGATTTTTGTGTTGATGCAATATGTTGCAAATGATCTGGAATTCATAGAACTGAACACAAGATACCCAAGAAGGTTTAATGAGATGGTTACCTAACAGGCTGTTAAGTTTTACCCATTCACCTCTGCTGTTCAGCCTAGTAACTTTGTTTTACCATAGTATGTCTTTCAAAAGATTACCCATTTTTGACTGAAATATCAAGAAATAGGAGCCTTGTTATTTTTCTTCCTATTTTTTCCCCATGATTAATCACATTGTTAAAATCCTGTTTTGTATTTCTTCTGTTTTAGCTTTGAGTTATTAGTTCTTGTTAGTCTGCTCCTAAGGAGTTAGAGAATTCTGCTATCTAATATTTCTGCACCAAAAGATATTTTATATCACTATGTGGTGACTGAAGCCCAAACAACTCCTCTGCAGCTGAGTGAGAACAAACATAAGTCATGCATTCCAGCTGATCACTGATTGTTACAGTTAGAAATGCAAACTAGACTCAATACTGAGTTTCAAACAAAGTATAAAATGTTGTTTCTCCTTTCACAGCTTTACATTAGAAACACAACAATTTCAGTATTTAAATCTATTTAAATAATTTTTGCCAATTGCTGTTTGTAATATATTTTCTAGTAAAAATGAAATAAAGAAGTCACAAAAGATTAGGGAACTAATTCTGAATATTAATGTGTTTAAACTATTACCCAAGAGAGTGAAATGGAAAATTATGTGAAATGATAATATATCATCGTGATATCCGGTTTTTAAACAGTTATTTATATAAGGAATTAGTTAAATATAGATTGAGTATTCTCTCTGAGTACCTTGGTCTTGATTTTTATTTTGGCCTTAACTCAGTCTCCAGTATTGAGAAGGAGTGTTTGTGTGTAGATAAATAAAACGTAGGTAGTTCATCATACAGAAGAATGTTCCAAGATCAAAACAGTTTTGATCCTACCAGTTCATTTTATCACTTTTTTCAGATGTAGTTTGCCACATTATTTTGCTGAATTAAATAATTGAGATCCACTGTTTTCACCTTCATTTTATTTAGATGTACAGCCACTTGAATTTTAAGAGGAGGTTGCTTTATAGATGTTACTTGAACTAGCAGCTGTCCAGAATTGCTCTGTTCACTTCTTATCAAGAAGTAGCAGGTCAGGTACGAAAAATAAAAAGAGAAAAAAATAGCTTTTGGGTGATCTGGCTCTGAGGAATAAAGGTAAAGAAATGATAAGTATTTCAAAGAATATTTACAAAGGCATGCTTTGTCTTGTGTCCCTGTAACTGTCCCTGTCCCTGCCTGGTCTCATGGCCACTGTAAAAGAGGAAGAGGCTGAAAAGAGGAATTAGGCTCTGCTGTCTAATTTATTTAATTTTTGCTTTTGCCAGAAATCAGACTTCAGGATCTTTTCTACACAGAAATTCAGCACAATCCTTCAGTGTTGTTACTGTTCAGTAGTGTCTGACAGGGAAGGAAATTGTTTAGTGGTCCTGTTTAGGATGGATTTTTATTAGCATTGGAGCAGGCTGCCCAGAGGTGTTGGGCAGTCTCAGGCTTTTGGAGGTTTTCAAGACTAAATGGATAAAACTGTGAGTAAGCAGATCTGATCTCAGAGCTAACTCTGCTTTGAACAGAAAATAAGATTAGAGACCTCTTTACATCTATTCCATCTGAAAATTGATCCATATAGGAATGGTGTTCAATTGATCTGTTTTATGTGATGGGGCTGTAACACTGAGCTGTATCTGTAGGAGAAAAGGGGTGCAACTTGAGAATGTTTTCACTCACCACAGATGAGGTCACAGTGATTACACCTGAGATAGCCTAATTCAGATAGGTCAACGCACTGATTGACAGACAAGTGAGAATTTAAGTTTTAAAGGAGTGTGAATTGTTTTTCATTTTTAGAGGTAGTCACTGCAGACCTGATGTTTTTGGTGTGCTAGTTCAATAGCAGATTGCCTGTTCTGAACTTGCTCTGTAGCTGAACAGTCAAATTGCATCTCTAATATTACCTGCTCAGAACTTTTTGTGAATGTTACATGTAGCAAAAAGAAAAAAGTAAAGGTGACTTGCCTAGTTTTTTATTTCTGAGCATGTTACTTTGCAAACAGGAACAAAAGTTGCAACTTTTAATCCTTTCTCTTTTTGGAATTGCTATGTACAGGTTTATTTAAATATTCAGATTTATAATAAATAAATATTTCCATATACTTTTTGCTGGTAGTTTTTTGCGATACAGTAAGGTAAATGATCACCTGTGAAAAGCTAAAACTACAGTGATATTGTTTTTATTTATTTATTTTCAGAAGTTATAAAGACTGTGGTTTGTGTATGTTATTGCAGGATTCTGTAATATAGGTGGTTATTTTATTATTTTTAGCATATTTTCTTCACAGGTTCTTAGTTACCATAGATTTGTTCTCATTACAGCAAATAATGTATCAGTAAAAAAGATTATACTATTTTTGAAACTTGACACAGTCTTTTTTTTTTTTTGAATAATCATAATATAATAAACTTTTTCAGCTGAGTTTCTTCAATTATCATTACAATGAAATAATTTAATGTGCTGCTGAAGAAATGCTTTAACATGCTTTTGAGAAATTTAAACTGCAGACTTCAGATAATTTCCTAATTGTGGTAAAGATTAGGAGTAGGGTGGGCTAAATACTCTGCTTAGCTTCTAATGATCTTTCTTCCAAATGATGCTCATTTTATCTACCCGTGGCTCTGTTATTATGAACAACTTTTTTAGTATAAACAACTAATTCAAGAAAAGATTGATGTAGTCCAAAACTCACAAAAGGGAAATAGGCTTACTTGGGCGGGGGTAGGGGGAAGAGCAGGGAGAGAACATTTTCTAAGTTTCAGGGAGACTGCAATTTTGTGGTCACTTCCACTTTTAATCATGATAGTGCTCTCGATGGACAAACTCCAGAACTAGGGCGCAGGAGGTAGCAAGGTGACTTGGAGGTAGAGCTAGATCTCAGTTATAAACACAACTTGGAGCCACAGCTTGAAGATGAAGTTACACCTCATGGCTGATGTAATCTAACAGCATGCTGATGCAAGAATAGGTAAATTATTCATCAGCTGTTCCTAGCTGCATGATACCACCTTTTCCCTCACAATAGCTCTAGCACTTAACTGATTATATAATAAATTAAAACGTCTTTAAACCATAAGGCAAGTTATTCCATCTTTTTTTTTGTCAGGTTAGTTTTCTTCTGGTTCAACAAGCTGAATTGTTTCAATGCAGGTGGTGATGTGTGGGAGAGACAGAACGAAGGGGAATGTGAAAGAGGTGAAAGGATGATGTATGCATGTATAGGCAGATGCAGGAGGAACAAGATCCCCCCCTTTCGGTAGTGACAATCCGGTAGAAAAGCGTGAGACCTAATATCTAGTTTCATCCCTTGCTGTTATTTTTCAGACTAGTACAACAGTTGTTTTCACAAACAAAGAAATTTTTAAACATTTAATATTCCTTTGTCCTGGACCAGTTCTGGGAAACACGTTGGTCTGGGAGCACTGGTCTGATCTCTTTAACTAGTTCTAGCTACAAGTTACAAAATCTGATAATAAAAATTTCAGCATAATTTCCACTTTCTGTCCTTGATTTCTAATGCTAGCAAATGGCTTCTTAAAAAGACAATTCAAAATACATGTTTTTCTATCACTTGAAGTCATGTCCTGGTTTAGATATAATATTTAACCTTTGTCTGACTATGATGTGGTAGAAATTGCATGTTTGTTAATAGTATCTTAAATCTGAAGAGATTTAATGAAGAATGGAAATCATCTATACAGAATAAAATGTCTGACTTACAGTTCCTTCTTTCTGATATGCATAGTCAGAGGCGTATTTGCCTGATTGCATTGTTTTTTGTTGTTGTTGTTGTTGTTTGTTTTTCCTGTTGCATTGTAGAAAGTTTTTATGTGACAGAGCAGATACCAAGAAAAGACAAAAATATATATATATATATATAAAATGACTTAGAAACATATAGATCAGTCTGTGAAGAAATAGTTAATGGAGCTCACTGACTGAACCCACAGTGTTTGATCTGTGATGCAGGCACCTGTGATAAGATAGAGTAAAAGCCCGATATGTCCCATAGTTAATTGTGTAGGAAGGCTTCTCATGTGCATTTTAATTAACAATTGAAACCAAATTTTAATATATTGGTTTTGCTTGATTGGATTTATATTTCTTAGCTCACTAATGCATATATTTGATTTAAACTCATCAGCTGGATGACCATGCAAAGAAATGAGATTACCTGCCTCAGCCTTTTTTTTTTTTTTTAAATCAGGTTATTTATCACTGAGTCTTGATAACACGTTACTTTGGATGGGGTAGTTCTTATTTATATAGCCTGATGTTGAGGCTATGCTTTATATGTTTTATACTTATTTAAAAGCTTTGTATGCACATAATTACAGAAAATTGCTCTAGTTTGTTTGTAGTTTGATGTAGTTTTACTTAGGAACTAAACCAGATGACTGTAACAACCCATCTCTATCTGAATTAAATAATCAATCTGAGCTCTAATGAATTCTTTAGAAAGGTTCACTTTTATTTAAATACATGAATTACAGACAAATATATTGTAATATGTTTCTAGTAGACAATTACCTTCATTATTAGGATTACATGCCTTTATTTTCATTTGAACTTCAGCCTCCAGTAATATCCTAGTAGTCAGTTTTCACTTCATATGCCTTCCCACATCTTGGTCTCATATTAGGTAGAAAGGAGGTTTGGAAAGAGATTACTTTTCAAACCAAGATGGCACACTTTCAGTTAACTGAAGAAAGGAAGTGACTAGCTCCCTTTATGTGACCATAATTATTTTAAATATTTATATTACTTATAAATCATTTTCTAAAGACAACTACAGTTATAAATAATATAGTCTGTTCAAGGGAAACTTTCCAGGAGAGCAGGAGCCAAGTACATTATAAACTACTACTATGGCTGTATTCAGTTTTCTTCTTTGGTAAGCATATAGGTCTTCAAGTGCATGCTTATAAGGAAGAAAGAAAGACTATTAACTGTATACAAGCATGGGTCTTTACATTAGCAAGTAAATTAACCCCAGACTTTGCAATGTCCTGCACCTTTCCAAATACACTTGATGAAACTATTTCTAGATGGAAAGAACTGAAGACTGTAAATTATATCACTAGATGGCAGTAACAGCCAAGTGAAATGAAATAGATATCTAGAAACTCAAAAGGTTTTATTTTGAAATTAATCTCTGAATATCAAATGTAGAAATAAACATTACACATGACAGTCTGCTCTGCCCAAACACAGATCATATATAAATTATGATTATTTATAGGTCTTAACAGGTTATAAGATATTACAAAATGCTATTTATAATTCTTTCTAGATCAGTGCATTTTTTTTAAATCAATAACTGTGTTTGTCATCACTGTAAAGGGTAACTTCACCCCCAGATATGTCATAGTGCCAAAGAAAAGTAATTCATCACAAATATGCTTTGTAGGTCCTTTATGACACTGGAAAAGGATAAAAATTCTCCACAACTTTCTAGCAGGTTACATGTAGGTGCAGGGGCATAGCCAATAGGTTATAGGAAGTGATTAACCCTGTCAAGTCAGTACACTGCATCTAGGATATTGTGCCCAGTGCTTGACACCTACTACATCAACGACAGTGATAAAGTGGAACAAGTTAAGTGTAGGCCACTAAGATGGTCAGAAATGGGCTGGAGCCCATTCCCTGTGAAGTAAGGTCTAACTGCATAAAGCTGAGTAACCTGATCTAGCTGACCTTGCTTTGAACAGGTTGTTGGACTAAAGAACACCTAAGGTCCTATCCAACTTAAATTGTCCCATAATCCTATATTAACTAGCCAGACACAGGCTTAGGACCATGATCTCTTTTTTTTCCCACCAGACTTTGGAAGCAGAATGAAACCAGGTGAGAGAAAGCACATTGTCGCTCTATGGCAATAAGCTGAAGAGCAGATGACATCCTATATATCTAATCTCTATATCCTAAACTTACTAAAGGTTGCAAAATATCTTGAACTTGAGAGGATGACTCTTGCTACCTCCAATGGCTGTACCAGAAGCAGATAATTAAGCAGCTGTTACAACAGCCAATCAGCGCATTGAGATTAACTCCTAAGTAATCCTAGAATAGAACTAAGGTAAACTAGAATCCTAGAATAGACTAAGGTCAAACAAACAAACAAAACTAACAAAATAAAAAACAAACAAACAAACAAAAAACGCTTTTCTCTGAGTTTTCTGTGACACATTGAACAACATGCAGAGAGGTAAGAGACCTACTGATTTTTATTTATTTATTTATTTTTAAGGTCAGAAGTACACTAACTAGTTTTGTTAGAAGATATCCTACTGACATTAAACTAAACACAAGATTGTTCTATTCTTGTTCTTTGCTTGAATACATTTTTCAGGTGAGGCAAAACAATGTATTTTAAGCCTCATGATAATTACCTTATAAAAAGAATCCAGATTTGTACCAAGAGTTTTCTCTCTTCTCCAAGGGCAGCTTATAGAGGAGCAGAAGCTAAAATAATGT